ATTGTAAAATAACCAGTGCGTGGCATCCAGGCTGGTGTATTGCAGAAATTCATCTTTGAAAAATATAAACCTTCCTCTTCTTTCACAACCTATAGCTGCTAACATGTCTAGATTACCATGATTGTGCAATATGCATTTTATGTTTTGCAGAAATGATTTTACCTTTCTTTTGTTTGTGTTAAGTTACACTTTAGATAACATATAATTATAGTGCTCACATGTGGATACAAAAGATGACATTAATCTTAGTTGGTTAGTAATATGTAATACATGATACATGTATGTCAAAAAGATAATGATTTTAATTTTGACAAAACAACTTGTTTTATCATTATGTCTGGTAAGATTGCACCACATACTTTGTACATTGTACATGGCATAGCTATATGATAGATTTTGATACTTTTCATAGCCATCTGCTTCAAATCTGGTCGAAACCTACAGTCGGAATTAATAATTGATTATATTATTAGCATACCATTCCCCTAGAATTGGCAGCCGAGCATTTTTTCATGGCCGTATGTCTGGCTGAGCACTTATGTTCCATCCCGGCATAACATTTCAATTTTCCACCCCCATTTATCAACAACATGCAAATTTGAGAAGGCAGTCGGGTGTAAGGACTTGCTACTCCGGGCCCGCTGGCATTTGAGTGGAAAACAGCAAAGTGCTGATTTGGTTTTGGGTGAGAATGGCAGCAAGGGTGCATAGCTCCTCCGTTAGAATGGACCAACTCCAGGATGCCAGGAGAATGGTGTCATTTAGGGTTGGTATAACATTTTTCCTATGTTTAAGAGACTATCGGCTCTTTGCAACGTCAATCCTTAACGTGTCTTAGAGTCGGAGCGCAGCTGTTTAAGTGGCAGCGCTTAATGCTAAGGCTTTAGTTTAACGCTCTCCTGTGATATTCCCAGTGTTGTATGACATTTACAGTGCAAGCACTGTGTGTACATTTTGGTGTGATGAATTATTGATACCAGTGAACTGGTGTGTGCGGGGTGCTTTGTAGATCTGTCAGTATCCTGGGCATATCAGTTTTCCATCTTGTTTCCAATTAAGAATCCTATATATCATTCCTGTTTTCAAGATTTAGATTGCCTATTTTCTTTAACTTCCTAAATATTACATTTTCTTCTCCTTCCTTTTATTGTATTTGTATTGCCTTAGAACCTAAATATTTCTTGTCCTGGAATGAGAGAGATGTTTCTGTGTTTTTATCTCTGTCCTTGGTGCTGAATGAGTAGTCCGATGTTGTTAATCTGTCTGGCTCTTTTTAGAACTATCTATTTTTGACAAATATTTTTTCTTTTAAATCTCAATTATTATGTTCTTCAAAGTACAGCACAGAACACTACTCTAATGGTTGATTGTTTATAATGTATTGAAATTCTAACCTTTTATCCATGAAAATAGTTTACTGTTTTTTCTTGACAAAATAAAACCATTTTAAGACAATTTACTATCCAAAATTTAGCCATTACCCCTCTAAAAGACAGGTCAGTAATGCACACTCAGTCTGATTCAAGTGTTGATCTACAAATGTACAACATGTAGGAGCTCTTGGGCTGAGTCAGCAACTAGTTTTACCTGAGGCATCTTTTGTTGCATTATTTTTATATTCAACAAGGGTGCCTCCCTCAGTATTTTTTCATAACACAATTAACAGCCTCAGAGTTGTCTTGATCACACATCATCCAGCATAAATCTGTCCTGTATAATTCTGTTTCGCCTTAGAGCTGAAGCACTGATCATATGTCACGATTGTGCCATTTTACCCTCACGTGTGCCACTATCGGGATTTGCATCTGTCACTACATATGAAAGGAAGGTGCTCACATCCTGTTCACATTAACCATGCTCCCAGTAGAGGATTTTTGTGTCTGCCTTGTTTTTTTGTAGGATGTACTGTGACATATATATTCTAATTTTTTGGATCACTTGATGACAATTAGAACATAGTTGTGACATAATGTAATAATCTCTTTAGTAGAAAAGAATATGGCTTACCGTTACAGGATTTGTGGCTACACGAGTTGCTATTAATTAGTTTGAGAAATGGAGGCACTGACTTGTATCATTGCAAGTCTGTAAAAACAAGTGAGATTCGTTGGGCTTTTGTGATCACTGGCAACAATTCATATGCACCTGCTGTCATCTGTACAATCCTGAGTGCATGGCCTTGGGGCTTGACAGTGCATAACATGCCTCAAAACATTACAGTGCTGTCAGAAATCTCCCTCACTCCAGGCAAGTTTTCTTTTTTGCAGCCATTAAGTCAGAGAAGTCATTCAAAATGTACCCTGTGGACATGGTCCTGTCTTGTCTTTGCCCTTGGTACTGAACCATCCATCATGTGTGCATTATCCCTTTCAACAGTGGTAGTCTTAGTTGAGTATCTTTTAAAATGTATTTTCCAGTAATGTTATAAATAATGTTTGGTAGGAAGTGCAGTCACACAAATTATGGTGTCTCAATAATTACGTTGATTTTGCAAGAGCAAAAATGCTCAAGAACAGCCAGCATTATTAGAACCTACGTCTTTAAGGTAGAGGTACAAATGCAGGCAGCAACAGCCTTCTCAATAGTTGTAGTTCTCTCCTTGGTGCTGAATGAACAGTCACATGCACTGTGCTGTACCTTTGCCATATTCAGTAGATCAAAAAAGTTACCTCATTTCACTCCATGTGAAATCAGCAGATGATTATTGTTGTAAAGTGCACAGGAATCTTTTTTTCATGAATGTGGTATTTATTTGACACAGACAGCACAGACTAGGCTGTCACTCGGTCTTAAGTTAACGTAATGGACTCCTTGTAGCTATATTTTTCAAATGTTGCTATGTTTCTAAAGCAGTGTGATGTAGAATGAATAATAAAGTAGTGTACAGATTGTTCACCATCAAAATTGCCTCTCATAACATAATTAAGCACCAGTGTAAAGATTTTAATGTTTTTGAGCCTTCCATTTTATAACAATTTTCCAAAATCCTTTACTATCCCAACAAATAGTGTACTTTTGGGCCCCAACTTGAGTTACTAGTACTTAGACAGGTAACATGATGGATGGCAGTTTTCAAATATGATGAAGGTTGCCATTTATTCAGAGTAAGAATGCACTGTTCTGCATGAAGAATGTCCTTTAC